TATTGGTTTTCTTAGATTGCACAGCCTATAAATTCCTATTCCTGACTTATTTCGAACTATATGCTTAGTCATGAGCTTTTCTATGGACAGAGACCATGAAGGAATCGAGCCTCTTACAAACAAAGCCTGGGAGATTCCCAGCTGCCAGGGCTGAAAGGCATTTCCCGCTGTTACGCATAACCTGTGTCGCCATTTCAGTACAGACCAATTATCACTTGCAGTCCAGAGAGTTATATATCAAGACCAGTGCCTTGATCTTTCCCTCTTATTCACAGAATCTGCTCAAAGGGCTGCGGCCTATATTCAAAGGAAAAAGTTTGTAAGGCAAAACTCTGGAAAATCTATACGACGACTGCACTCCAGGTTTAACAAGAATGGCAAAACCCCCCACACTTTACGGAAGATCTGTAGCTGTGTTGTACTGATGACCAAAAGTACATAGAAGTGTTAAGTGATCTCCAGATACCCGCCAGGGCAACCCATCCATATGCAAAGTTCTCCTGAGCTAGATGTTCAAATCGGACAAGTGTTTATTTTTATTTAGGACAGGGGAAAGGAGGGTGTGTTAACTGGTTTGACAACAAAAACTTTGGATCGCAAAATGCATATTCTTTGAGAAAGATTAAATTCAGAGCTGTGACCGTCTCTGGTGCTTGGGTTCATTTTGTTAACAAAATAGGAACGTATCCCAAAACAAGCCCTTCAACAAGAGTCGAAGTACTGTCCTTGCAATGACTCCCTCTGAACCTGATCCAGGGGTCATCACACTAGTGAGACCTGAGGGACCTCTTATCAGATGTGATTTCAATATAATTTTTTTTGAAATTGCCTCTACAAAGCCTTTTTCTTTAGTGCCACTAAATCTCCCTCACGTAAAAAGTCTAAAACCAGCAGCTGCTTCTGTTTTCACTACAATACAGTTTCCATAGTCATATCAAGACACTTTTATATGCATACATGGCAATTTAGTTGTATAGAATGCTTAAAGAATGAACTGCAGTGCTATGATTGCCCTGATCCTGCTTTTGAGGCTCTAAAGCTGTCAGAAAATTAAAAAACCCCTAACCCTCAGCAAGTGCCAGATCTGTACTCCCACCAGAACGGGTCAGCTGTGGGGATGGGACACAGAGCTGGTGCCCTGCACATCTGCACGCACACATGAGGTCGTTTGCGAGTGCAAAATTCTGCCTGTATAACTTTTTATGTGTCCTACCTACTGAATAGACCTTTGGGAAGGCAGTTTAGCGAAACCCATGAAAATCAAAGGATGCTCAGAGCGCAGCCTATGTCTGTCCAAGTTTCATCTTGCAACCCAGCCCGAGCTGGGATGAGCCTCACTAAGGCGAACGCTTCCTCCACCTACCACTCGCTCACAGAAAAAAAAGCCTCAGATGATGGAGCAGGAAAATCTCAGAGAGACACAAGAGTTTCACGAGAGCCCCTTTCTCAGAGAGCTGCACCGTCCTCCGGCCGCCAGCCCCCTGCAAGGAGATGCCCCTCGGCCCCAGTCGTGGCAGCAAAGCCACCGGCGCCGTGGGTGAGCAGCCATGGCATGAGCCTGCAGAATTGTGTGCACGAGCACTTGTTCGTCAGAGGGCACCAGAGGATTTTGTTTTTTCCCCGGCTGCGTGCTAAAGGCTGCTTTCCCTTCGGAACAGGCAGTGCTGTGTCCCCGGCATCCCAGTCCCACATATTTAATGCCGGAGCTCAGGCTCGGTGAGCAGCAGAATGGAAGACTCATGCAATGCTCAGGATGGGACTAATCTTGCCCAAAGCTGCAAATCGAGAAGTTTAATTCTACCCTGCAAGGAATCTCAGCGGAGAGACTCGCGTAAGCAAAAATGTGCATGGGCGTGCAGATCTGCAGAATTAAGGCTTTTCATATGTGTTACAAACACACCTCTGGGGGTCTTAATATTTATGAAGCACCTCAAATTCCCAAGGCATTTCACAGGTCATATATACAAAGAATATTGTCAGCCAGGTCCTGCTTTAGGAAAACATTTCCATTTGACACAGGGGCTTAACTATGCTCATAGAAGACCTGTTGAAAATAACACGGTTTTAGTACAAATCAGAAATCAGTCCTAAGTGCTTTTCTGAAGAAGGAAGGAATAAAACATTTACTTAAGTGCTTCCCTAAGTTCTGGATTCAGTGATGTGTAACCTGCTTTTGCACTTGTTGCAAAGCACTTGATGGCGCTCAGAGCTGTAGAAAACTCGAGGACAGGGATGGAAGAACATCATTCCTGAGTGAAACTGCAGGTAGAACGGGGAAAATGAAAGCAGAGACTCCTGACCCACATTTGCTAGGGTGCCTCTTTCGAAAGACCACAGTATGGGGATACGTCATGGGTGCTATAAAAGATGCCTAGCACCCTGCCTCTGTCAGTGGCCAGCTGTGGACCCCGAGAGACCATATCTAGTAAGAGATACTTAGGAAAAGAGCGTGCACAGCGTGATCTCTCTCCAAAACCCTTCCCAGCTCCTAATGATACAGGCAGGGTCTCAGTTACTGTCTACACGATGCCCCTTTGAGCACTCCCTTTAAGGACTTTGCTGGGCAAAAGACCCAGTTCAGCATAAGCTGGGAGTTTCACCTCCTGCCTCGCTTTTTCAGAGACGTCACTGGCTCTGCTGGGCTGTGGGTGACTCTGCTAACAACAACAGATAATTGGTCCATCTATCCATTGGGATTAACTTCATTAAGTTTGTGAAACAAGACAAAGACTTTGCGACAGCTCCTCTGAAACCCAAAGAATTCAGCCAGGAGTTTTTTGTCTGCATGTTGAGCTGCAGTGGGAGGATGTTAAAGGATCATCAACAACTCGGACATCGTGTTCATGATGTTCCTGTGACATGCAGCACCCAGGTTCCAGCACTCAAGAAGAAACTGTACCCGCGTGTGTACTTTCCATAGGGAGACCTGGCTGTGTATCACCAGCTTCACTCTTCCCCCTGCAGTCATTTGAGATGAATTTCATTCCTGTGTGAAGGGCCAGTGTTTGGTTAAGCACCACTTAAATCCCATTTCAGCGTTATTTCCAGAGCTTAAGTGGAGCTGCTGCGGTACCTTGTGCAAATTCTCTCGTGTCGGGGTGAACTTCAGCATCGGTTCCCTGATACTGTGGGCCTTTCTCACAGCAGCAAAGAATAGAGAAGACATTAAAGGATAAGGAAAATATGATTACAGAACCACAAATATTGGCAAGACTGACCTAGCTGTGCCCTCTGGAAGACTCTCTAACTTTCTTTTTAAACCAAGCAGATTTCCAGCTGCCTGTATCTCTTTAATTAAAAACGAGATGTCCTTTTGAATGGCCTATAGAAATGTAACGGCACATTTCCGGATCACGGTTTTGAAGGATCATTAGGCTGTGCTCCTTTGCCTCAAAGTTACTCTGCAATTTAGGGACTATGAACATGAAAAAAAAAATCATGCTATAAAATGAACTGAGTTCTAACAGGACTGAAAAGCAGGGAATACAATTTTTCCTTCTTCCTGTACTAAGGAAGCAAGTCACCTAAAGTTTTAGGGATAGTTCTAAACACGTTTCTTCCTGAGTAAGATCTGACAAACTGAATTTTGGCTGGGAGTTGATTTCCACAGCTAATGAGTAAATCCACAAGGAGATTAAACACAGCAAGAACCCTAATCGTTGCATTTTGAATGCTGCCATGACCTCATCAAGTCAAAACGTTTGACCTCTCCATGAAATTTCGATGTAAGATGAATTGTTGGATTCTATGGACTTACTCAGGAGGCAGTAATGTGATTCAAATCATCTGACTGTCAACAGAAACCACTTACTCTTGTATAACGGTAAGCTCAAAACGCTTCTTCACAGTTGAGTATTTTGACTGAAAAACAAAATTGTACATTGAACAAGTAACAGTAAGCTTTTCCTTGTAAAGCAGAGCTCAGAATGAATGAAATAATCATCACAGGTCACTACTATTTAGGTGTTTTGATTTATGTTAGTTCTGTTTATTTTCAAATTCCTTCCCCTCTACCCAAAATATTTTGGTGTGTATATATATCTATATACAAATTGCAAGTATTCCATCATGCTTGCGACAGTGCTGGCAGCAGCTCTGGAGGACAACAAACCACCTGAACTCTTATCAAACTCTCTGTTTGATAAGAAACAGGCAAAAACTGCCGTCAAAACATAAGAAGTGAAATGCACTAAGAAAAAAAAAAACCCACAAAACAAAATAAGAAGTAAACATTTCAACCCGGTGCCTCCTGCTTCATTAGCAATTTCTGACGCCGATATCAGCATCTCCAGACCCTTGCTAAGAATACTTTCATCGTCTGCGTAACGCGCAGCTGTTAACACGCAGCCTCTGGAAACCTCTCGGACACTCCTTCAGCCTACCGGTCAGATTTTGGTCTGTAAAACTAAGACCAGACATGGTGTTATACTAGATCTTCTTTTCCTGCTACTGAAGTGTGACTTGAAGGAAGGCCATTAACGTACTGACAACTGCTAATAGCATAAAATATAGCAAAGGACTACAAGGACGGAGTGAAGCTTTAAACTTTTCTTTCTCTCCTTCACACCGTACGATACTCTTCTCTAGGACAGAGCTCTGAGCAAAATCCAACATAACGCAGTTTTGATCCAAATCTCAGCAATCTCTGTTAATTCAGAGCTCTCTTACAAATCAAGGCCTTCAGAATATACCATTTCCAAGGCTCCCACTTCAATGAAAGCAGGCTTCACATTAACGCAGGGTGCTGGTGCACCATCCTTCTGAAGCCACGCATACTTCATGCAGAAACGACAAGGCAATGATAAATCCTGGAGTCAGATCATGAAGTGACCAGCGAAAGGGAATTCAGATTTCTAGATTGAACTCTTGAAAAAGCTCGGGTCAGTCAACAAAAACAGCGTGTCCATCCATAACAAACCATAAAGAAACATAACAAACATACATCTTTTCAAAAAAAAGAAACAAAACCCCGATGGAACAAGTGTAGAAAACACTCAAGCTGTCATTTCAGTTGCGTATTTATGAGCCACTGAAGAGTTACAAGACTGCTCTCAAGCACGTGGGTAAACTGGAAGCGTTCATCTCCCATGTGAACAACATGAACGTACGTAGATGATGAAACCGCATCCAGGCAGACACAACTGTTGCTATTGCTTTTCGTGACCATCTCAGAATGGAGTATGCAGGAGTGACAGTGCTCTGGAGGCATGTGCATGACTGGTCCAAATCCTAGAAAGCTGACTCGGTCCCTCCCTGTGACCCTCCCCTGTAGTTTAGTGTTGGATCTCTGTTTTTCAAGACTTCACCTCTTCGCAGTCTTGATCAGTGGAAAGCTCCACATCGGACAGTCCAACCTCCATTGCCATAATCAATGAAATATCTGAATCACTGCTGACTGCTGGCTCCTGTTCATCTGTGAGGGTAGAAAAGACAGGAAAAGGGCATTATGGTCACGTCTTTCTGCCAAGGTGTTACTATGTTTTAGTTCTGCAGATGGGACCCAGAGGTTCCTCCACCACTGAGGTTGTGCTTAGGTTCCAAATTTTGCTCTTATTCAACGTCTAAAACATTTCAAAAATATCAGAAAATTCAAGCTGTCAGTAAGTGAGAAACATGATGACAAGGAGCCTGGATGGGTAACGCTTTCTTCTCCTAATCTTCCCAGGGCTCTCCATCCAGGCCCTTCATCCCCATGACCTTCCTCCCACCACCTGAGTACTTCCCTCCCCGTCTCCTTTCATTTCCTCAACGTGGCATCATCCTGCTCTCCCCACAAAGACAGCAAGTTAAGGACAAAGTCACAGGCACCTGGTAGAGCGACTTGGCCATCAGGAAAACATTTCTAACAGGGAAAAAAATCCTCTCAAACCCTCCTTAGGTGACAGAATCTCTGTTAGCGGAGACTTTTAAGAGGGTGTGAGGATGATCTCTGGAAGGGGCAACACGAGTGTTATTAGTTCTGCTCCAGGACTCAGGACCAGGATACCTGCCTTCTCAGGTGCCTTCTCTCATCCTTTTCCAGTCTCTTTTTTTATTCACCTTTTCCTCTGATTTGAAGATACCTTGCAGGCCGAAGGGGTCTACCTTTATCCATCATGAACCCAAACACAGTAAGAGTCAGATTATTGACTTTTGCCAAACTGCAAGCGTCGGAGGAGTAACTTGTTTTTGGTTTGAGTCCACAGCACTTACTCTGTGTGTATTTAGTAGCAGATAAAGCCAACAGATTTTAAAGGACTAAAAGCTAATTTTGTTTCAAGAACAATCAGGAGAAGCAAAGCACACTGGATCTCTGGGGAGATTTTCAAAGGCACAAAAATCCCATAGACGGCTGAGTCCCTAAGAGAAAAAGTTGATGGTTCATATTTCCAAGCGGCTTAATTACAAGGACGATATTTATACTGTAACAATACAATGTATTTAAATCTGTGGCAGTTTTTCCTTTACATATTTTATTTTTTCAGGCAATAGAAGCAGAGCTTGATTGATGCTAAAAAGTCTAAAAGTCAAATATCTAAGAATTAATAAGCAAGAAGCATTACAGAGGAGCCAGGAAAATAATAACTCCTCACAGTTTAATTATTCACTTGAAGCTAAGTGAGCACAATTAGTCTCCTCTTAAGAGCTGCATGATTTTTAAATCTGTTTTAGAGAAAAACCATGTATTTACTTGCGCTGGGATAAGATTTCATGCTCTGCGGAGAAAGCTTGAGCGGGGTCTGCATTATTCAAACTGAAAGAGCCTGTGCTTTCCTTTACAACCCTTCCCAATTTTCAGCCTGGATTATTTTTACACTTTCTTGATTGCAAGATAAACAATTAATGCACGCAACCTCTTTATAGCTGTATATTTTTTCCCCTATCAATATGGCAGTAGTAAAACATTTCAAGGCACTGCTTCTGATTACAAATGTTTCCACTGGAGGTGGAGGAAGTACTTATGAACTGAATGACATCTCCTGCAGACTTCAGTGGGCTTCAATTACATTGAACCATGAGGTGAACTGCTAGATCCAAGAACACAGAAGTGCATCACACACACCTCCGAGACCTAAAGCATCATCTGTAGTGCTAACAGCTCCCTGTGCCAGAACGATGCTGTTCCAGACCACTGGATTATTTATCATTCTTCTATAACTAAGAGGATTCTTATAAACAATGACAATTATGCTTTAAATGTTGACCTAAGAGCAAGTTTACATTTGCATGGCAGAGTTCCTGAGGCTTAGCTGTATTAAACAGCTGCTTGGAGCACTCTTGACAGAAAGGTCATTTTCATCTGAACTAGCCGTGCAGGAAAGAAGGACTGGCTGAACGGTGACAGCCACACCACGCTGAAGAGGCAGGCTGAGCTCCCAACACCAAATGTCAGAGTGTCAAATGAGAAGCATTTATGGTACCAAAATCAAAATATTATTTCAAGGATTGTTGTTTCTTCTCGGGTTGTGCAGCAGGAAAAGATCTCAGCTGAGTTCGAGACAGGCAGATAGAACAGAAGCAGATTTACAGCTCACCTACCCACTGTCTAACCGATGTACAGGAGCACCTGCTTTCCAAAACAGCAAGCTTGAGTTTTACATTAAAAATCCTATACAACTATTCAAATTCTTGCCTCTTAGTTTTTCCAAAGCGTGGGCTTTGCAGTCTGTCTTCTTTGGGACTGAAGTGCAGGTCAGTAGGAACAATGAACAAAGGATCCTAAAAACGCCCATGCCTATGCCCTGGCATTGCTCTTTCAGCGCTGTGAAAGTGCGTAGAAACATGAATGCTCCACCTTCCTTGCATGCCAACAGTGCAGCGGTTCAAAATCCTAAAGCTACAGCCCACTGCTTCAGCACAGCGGGGAAAAAAACTCTGATATTATCGTTCCTTACACCTTCCCTTTTGGGGAAGGCGTCAGCACTGATGTTTCTTTGGAAGACACAGGCAACACGAGGAAATTAATCCATCCCTCAGCATTACATGCCTGCTCTGGTACACAGGAGTCCTACTACTCACCCCAACATGCAAAGGATGAAAGTCTGGGAGGCTGCAGAAGTTACAGCAGATATCTATCGATCAGCTGTAGGTAACTCCGGCTGCAAGGTCTACCAACTGCCTCGCTGTGGCTCCCCCACACAACACAGGCTTTCTACACTGTCGTGGTTGCTTGGTTTTGTTTCTGTTCTGTTTTGTTGTTTGTTTTTTTTTCTTCCCCTCTTTGGCCGGCTGCTCAATAGCGTGAGCCAGCACAGTTAGTGACATTTGTTAAAGGTAAGCAAACCTCAGCTCAACTGCAAGTGCCAGGAGCTTAGCCTGCATTTTGCATCCCTGGTTTTTAGATCCTATTTACAATGACAAAGCTTATACAATCACACAGCTTCTACAGAAAATGCCTGACTCCCTGTTAAGAACTTTTATGACCTTTTTGCAAGTTTTTTGAAATTCCTTGTTTTTTTCTTAAAGCCCTGAAGTCAGGTGAGGATCTCAACTTGCAGTGAAGATCTCAGCTTTCACTTAGAAATAAAAGAATCATAAGTAGCAAAAAGGAAACAGGGAGTTTAAAAAACCATATCCCTAGTTTCCAGACAGATTTTATGCTGGAATATCTGACTTGTGATTTCAGACGTCTGAGATTGGCAACCCTGTCTAACAACACACACTATTAATACTTCCACCACGTTACACAGCACTTGACGCCACAGGCATAAAGCCTTTTGCTTAATGAAGCAAAAGACACATCCCAAGCTGCTTTTCAGCCTGCGTGCTAGTGCCTACAGCAGGCAACTGTAGACCTCACTGCCACATTCCTCTCATGTCAGCGAAACACAATACACCACAGCATGCTGCCTACTTCCAGACGGACTTTTTCCACTCACTTGTATTCCCTGACACACATTCATTTCAGCAGTACAATAAAACAAACTCCTTCTCTAGCCAATATTACTTTAAATTTAATTATGCTAATGCAGGAAGAATATCACCACGTAGATATGGAACTGCCCTACATAATAGTAGTACGGCCCTCACTTGTTGCAAACTTCATTAAGTGATGTTTATATTTGAGTATAATTGCAATCAAACAAGGAAGAAAACAGCTAATTACTCTGGTGCTTTAAAAACAGTAAGGCTGCACACTAGTAATAGTTACCTACTGCTGCTGCTACTCCTAACTCTTTGAGTAAGTCTGTAGCTGTTGTACGCTAATAAATATTCCAAAAGGAAAAGGTCAGATAATGGGTTTCTAAGAATTTGATACCGTTTGCGAGAGTCTTGGGAGCGACCTAAGCATTCAACAGTAAGTGAAAAGCACACGTACAAAAACATTCACCTGCCACGTGCAGGTAAGCATACAGGCATGGGCACAAATCGAGATGTGCTTGTAATGTCCTGCTCGAGGATGTGGAACAAGCTGATGTAACTGTGGTGGGTTTTGCTCCTCCTCACCATTGTGCTCCTCCCTAGGACATGGGCAGTGCCGTGGGGCTCTCCTAAAATTGCTCCTTCTTGTCCCAGAGGCTGAGATTTTCCCCAAGCTCATGGAGCTGGAAAAGTTGCAGAACCCCATGACTGGGCTAAAGGGTCCAAAAGCTGCAGAAGGTTAAAAGGTTCACAAGCAATTTGCATCCAGGGAATAAGCAGAAAAGTAAGAATACACTAAAATGTTATACAGCAAAAGCTTCTCGGCATTGAATGCATGTAAGGTTTATCTAAGATGACAGACTTTTTTCCTTCTCTGGACCTTCAGGTAGCTCTCTGCTAGTACAGTCCTTTGTGAGTAAGCAGAGAAGCATCGACTACTACATGTCAAATGAGAGCTGCCACCAAGTGTGTAATTCACCTACTGAAAGAGTAACTAAAGCCAGCAATCTCCTATTCTTGTGGATTAAAAACATGGGCCACAGCAATAAACTATTCAGCTGGGAGTCAGGCTCCCTTCCCTCATTTATTATCAACTCTCCGTGAACTAATTCAGCATACTCAGCCCTGCTCCACACAATTAAACCGTTGCAGAGAGCTGGGTGGCTGCTAATGGTTTTCTTCATCTTACAACAGTCACAGGCATCAGAGGGCAAGAAAAAGCTGCTACTGTGCTGCTGACTTAGGTGTCACCTATTTGCCCAGCTATAAAGTTAAGCATTTAGCACAAGAAACAAGTCTTGTTTTGCGCAGATCTTCTGTTCTTGATGGTAGATACCCAGCTTTGAGGAGAACTGAATAATTATTGATTTCTTCATCTAATGAAATGCTGTGAAAAATTCATCAGTTATTATTCCATCCTTAGCTGGCAGAAATTGTACAGCAGATAATGGGAGTCTGTCTAAAACCTCTTGACAATAAATATACAGCAAAACTGGGACTTGATTTCACTGTTCGTTTCACATTCTCATTACTGTGAAATACACCTTATTTCAGAACTCTTCATTTTCTGAA